TATATGTATATATGTAGAAACCACAGTTCAGCAAGAAAAAATAGTTGTTTTTAGTCAATACGTTGTTTTGTCTGTACGTCAGCACTACATTTTCATTTATTTATTTAAAATATATTTAGTGTAATTTGTTTTTCATGAATGTAAACCTTTTTTTTTTTTTTTTACCATTTTGTGGTATATATACACACAAACACACATACACTACATAAACACACAATACATTCCAGCAAGAATAAAAAAATCATGACAACTCTTGGAAGATTTTAGCATGATAATGGATGTGACAATGTTAATGTATTTGGTCTTGGTGGAATAGATTTGCTACACTGCTGCTGCTGTATTACTGCTGCTGTTGGTTATTGCTGTAGTTGTAGATTATTGCTGCTGTTGCTGCAAGCAAGTACAGGAACTTGCTACTGCCAATACATACTGCCAAGCTACATTTTTGTCAGTGTTGGATTATTGTGATATCATATACATGCAGGCACCTAAGCATTGTTTACAGGCGTTGGATTCAGTTTATCATGGAGCATTAAGGTTCATCACAAATTCAAAAGCCCTTACTCATCATTGTTTATTGTACTCTCGGGTTGGATGGCCGGCGTTGTCATCCCGTAGACTTAAGCATTGGTACTTATTTATATATTACGCCGATAAAGTGCTGTGAGTATTTAAGACATACTGCTGCTGCACAAATAGCATATAAAATAACCCGTAGATCTATACAGGTGGAGCTGGGGAAGGTGGAGAGTATCAGAGGAACTCTGAAAGTGCGCTGCAAAATGCTCAAGTGGGTGCTAGCTAGCCATTTAAATGTAAAGCAGTAAGCTCATTGGCTGCGTATGCAACATGAACCAATCGGCTTGTGCCAAGTCGCTTAACGCTGTGAATATCATCAGTTACGTTAAGAACCCATCAGCCTGTGCCATTTAGAGTTTTATGAAAGAACTAGGCATTTGTTCTTTTCCCGTTGACATACATTTTGTTTATGTATTATATATTTAAAAACATATATTTTTCATTTATACTATGAGTATATATTGTGCTGTTTACAACATAAAGCCTATTTGCAATTGGTAATAAAATGTTTTGTCAGAAAGACAATTTTTTGTACTAAATGGGCTCAAACATTAAATTCAAAAACTTCCGTTCTTGTATTTTCACAGGGAAAACAGATAATGTCAGAACTCTTCTTAACTGCGTCAAACCCATCAGTGGTGATCATCTCCTCTAGCAGTGCACAAACCATCCTGCTTCATGACAATCCCACAGTGAACATCTACGTAAGTACCGATGCATTCAGTGTTTTCATTTGTAAATCCTGCCAGAGTTGCTAAAAATAACACATGTTGCACATGCAAAGGATTCATCCAGATCTACATTTGTTGACGAGCTGCCAGCATAAAGACGCTTGCATCCACATCTTTATATTTAACAGTGGAACAAATGGTGTGTTGCGTGGGAGCCGTTGGCAGGTGTCTGACAATAAAAGCAGCTACAGCTGCACACTTTCAGCTCTGTTTTGAGAGGCAATTAACCTTGTTTGTTTAGCCCATGACCCCATGAGAATTTGCAAACAGACTTAACTAGTGTCGAATATGGATGTGCCAGAGCTCTCGAAACAAAACAGCCCAGTATGACAAAAGCAGTGCTGCTCCACGATTTGTTTTCTTCAATTTGTTCTTTCCACCGCTGAACCTTGTTAACCTTTATTAGATTGCTGTGGAACAATGCGAATTGGAATTGCAGTGCAAACCGAAAGGGAGCGAACGTCTATTTCCTTGCAAGGAGAGGAAATTCAACTCCGCCCCAATTGTGACTGAATCCAGACTATGAGATATTAAAAATGCAGTGTGTTATGATGGGATAATCTGATGGCCTGGGGAGACATGCGATGTCTTGAGTCTGGAGAAACAGCATGTGTTGTTCTTGAGGGTTCTTATCAATAGACGCGGTCAGGCCGGGCAGAGAAACACTCTCGACCGTTTCCAACACCAGCCTGAATCCATCACAACCTGTTCGACTTGACAGGCAGAGAACGAAGTCTGCTTTTCAGAGTAGATTGTACTATTTACATATATAGAATATCAACACTGCTTTTCAATGTTTAATTGAAGGGATAGTTCACATAAAAATGAAAATTCTTTCATTAATTACTCACCCTCATGTCGTTCGAAACCTGTAAGAACTTTGTTCACCTTTGGAACACAAATTAAGATTAGGGGTAGGCAGCGACGTGCACAGACATTTTGAGGGGCAGGAGCTCAAGTGGAAAAAAGGGCACTTCTCATATATATTTTATTAATCGAGATTTTTTTCTAAACAAAACGTTAAATATATTAGGGGTGTGCGATATTGACAAAAATATATCTCAATATTTTCTGGGATTTTATAATGATAACAATAATTAGACGATATTTATATAAATTGATATAATAATATAATAATCGATAAAATATAAATTGAATAATAAATTATAAAGCCCTTTTTTCTAAAAGTGTGCATAATCTTTTCAGTCAAATTCTTAAATTGAATCAGTCAATTAGAATAATAAGTCATTTGGGCTGTTAC